GTCTCTGGGAAGATTTGGAATATCTGTAAAATCTAGAAAACACAGCGTTTTTGCCCACGGGTAGTCTCTGGGAATATTTGGAATATCTGTTTCACTTGGGTAGTCTTTGGGCATATCTGAAATATCTGGAACATCTGGAAACACACATTGTTTTTCACTTGGGTAGTCTCTGGAAAGATCTGGAATATTTGGAACATCTGGAAAACACAACGTTTTTTCAATACCACCCTCCCCACTGATCCTTTCCTCTTTTTTCCCCTCTCTTTTTTTTTGTCTCTCTCTCTCTCTCTCCCCCTTTTTTTTTCTCTCTCTCTCTCTCTGTCCTTCCTCCTCCTCCTCCTCCTCCTCCTCCTCCTCCTCCTCCTCCTCTCTCTGTGGTGAGGGTTCCTGCTGCGAAGCTTCCCGTTCGAATCCCGCAAAGGATTCCTGCTGTGATGTTTTCCACTAGACTCACTTTGTGGCGCTTTCCATGGCGTTTCTATTGTGAGGCCTTCCAGTAGAATCCCTGTTGGGGTATTTCCAAAGGATTCCGATTGTGAGGATTTCCCATCGAATCCATCTGTGGTGCTTTTCAAAGGATTCCGATTGTGATGCTTTCCACCAGAATGAATGTGTGGTGCTTTCCAATGGGATCCTGCTAAGAGGCTTTACACTAGAATCCCCCCTGTGGTGCTTTCCAAAGGGTTCCGCTTGTGAGGCTTTCCAATGGAACTCCTTGGTGGTGCTTTCCAGAGGGTTCCAAGTGTGAGGCTTTCCCATCGAATCCCTCTGTAGTGTTTTCCAAAGGTCCTTGTTGTGAGGCTTTCCAATCGAATCTCTTTGGTTTACTTTTCAAAGGCATCCTGTTGAGATGCTTTACAATCGAATCCTTCTGTGGTGCTTTCTGACGGGTTCCTGTTGAGAGGCTTTCCACTGCAACTCCTCTGTGGTGCTTTCCAAAGGGATCCTGTTGTGCGGCTTTCCAATGTAAAACCTCTGTGGTGCTTTCCAAGAGGATTCCGATTGGGAGGCTTTCCACTAGAATCCCTCTGCGGTGCTTTCCAACGGATTACGATTGTGAGGCTTTCCAATTGATTACATCTGTGGTGCTTTCTGACGGATTCCTGTTGAGAGGCTTTCCAATGGAACTCCTTTGTGGTGCTTTTCAAGGGGTTGCTATTGTGGGGCTTTCAAATGTGATCCCTTTGTTGCGTTTTCCGACGGATTCCGATGGTGAGGCTTTCCAATGGAAGCCTTTTGTGGAGTTTTCCAAACTATTCCTTTTGTGGCGCTTCCCCAATAGGGGCCATTATTCGAATTTTCCAAAAAGGGCTCCTGCTGTGAGGTTTTCCAATCGAATCCTTCGGTGATGCTTTCCAAAGGTCCTTCTTGTGAGGCTTTCCAATAGAATCCCTTTGGGGTCGTTTCCAAATGAATCCTGTTGAGATGCTTTACAATATAATTCACCCGTGGTGTTTCCCAAAAGTTTTCGATTGTGCGGTTTTCCAATCGAATCATTTTGTGGTGCTTTTTAACGGAATCATGTTGCGAGGCTTTGCAGTCGAATCCCTCTATGGTGTTTTTCACAATGTTCCGCTTGTGAGGCTTTCCACCAGAATCCTTCTGCGGTGCTTCCCAAAAGGATTCCGTTTGTGAGGCTTTCCAATCGAATCCCTCTGTGGTGTTCTCCAAAGGAATTTTGGTGAGAGGCTTTTCAATGACACTTACTCGTTTTTTTTTGTTTCTTTTGTTTTTTCTTTGTGATATACATATATATATATATATATGTGTATGTATGTAAAATTCCTGCTGTGAGGCATTCAAGTGTAATCCCTTTTGTGGTGCTTTCCAAATGATTCCGATTGTCAGAGAGAGGGGGAGAGAAGCAACGATGGCACATATATGAAAGCAAGAAAAATTATAATGTAGGAGGGGGGGGGGGAGCAGGATGACAATCGGAGGAATCAGGATAATGGGGAGGAGACGGAACATGAGGAGGCTAATGA